CAGCTGAAGGGTCTGCTGGGCAGCACTGGTCTAGAGCCACATAGGCAATCACATGTGTAATCATCTGCTGAACACCTCCTCTTTGTCCTGCTGTAAGACTTTTTTTTCTTCGTTTTTGTTTCTGAGACGGAGTTTTGTTCTTGTCGCCCAGGCTGGAGTACAATGACGCGATCTCGGCTCACTGCAACCTCCGCCTCCCGGGTTCAAGCTATTCTCCTGCCTCAGCCTTCCAGGCAGTTGGGATTACAGGTGCCCGCCTCCATGCCCAGCTAATTTTTGCATTTTTGGTAGAAACGAGGTTTTGCCATGTTGGTCAGGCTGGTCTCAAACTCGTAACCTCAGGTGATCCACCCCCCTCAGCCTCCCAAAGTGCTGGGATTACAGGCGTGAACCACCTTGCCCACCTGCTCTGCCCTAAGACTTTTAACCCCCCAATTAACTCATCCCCTTCTCCCCCACCCTCACCACACTGGCTTCTCCTCCTGTGGCTTGCGGCTTGGTGAAAGCTATGCGCGCCATCACGCAGGGTCCGGGGCCAGACGCCTGCCAGCCACTTGGATGCCACCTTCCTTGCCCCTGCCACAGCTCATCCATTGCCAACCCCTGCACGTCTCCTCTCCATCGCTTCTCCCCCAGCCCTGGCTGCTTTTCTGCCTCCCATCTGTCTCCCACGCTGCTTCCAGAGGCAGCTTTGAAAAATGCAAATCTGAATGCCACCCCTGGCTTCAAGGGCTTCCCATGCCAATAAAGGAGGCAGTAAGCCCTGAGCGTTTCCATCTGGCCCTTCCCCACCCTGCCTGAGTCCCCTTCACTCCAGCCCTCTGCAGCCACTCAGTCCCTAACAGGTGAAACGTGAGGTCTCGTCCTCTGACACAAGCTCTTTCCTCTGTCTGGATGCCCATTTCTCCTCCACCTTCTCCATCTGTGTATTCTCCAGAACTCAGCCTGAGGCCAATTCCTCCTAGAATTTGCCCAGACCCGGGCCATGCTGTAGGTGCCCCTCCCCTCCATCCGGACAGAACCGGTCTACGGTCGCTGGTTTCCTGATCCATCCCCACGACTCCAAGCCCCTGGGACATGGGAGCCCCATCTAATTTCTCAGGTGTCACCAGCATCCAGTGTCTAATTCTCAACAGGGCTCAAAAGCTCCCCTCACCTCCAACCAGTCCCAAGTACAGAGCCATCATCCAAACACAACATGCCCCAGCCAAGGCCTGTCCAAATCTCTCTCTAACTCCAGGTGGGGATGCAGGGATCCAAGGGACGTCACTGTCACCAGAATGCTGACTCCCGGTGCAGCCATGTGGCTGTCTTCCCCAGAAATGCTCCTCTTATCTGCACTCAGAAAGGCTACTGCTTCAAAGAGACAAAGCCACTGCCTCCATTCCCAAGGTTAAGAAACACTGACGTTTAGGAATAAAGACGGTCTAATGAAATAAGGGCTGCGCACGGTGGCTCACACCTGTAATCCCAGCACTTTGGGAAGCTGAGGTGGGCAGATCACCTGAGGTCAGGAGTTCAAGACCAGCCTGGCCAACATGGTGAAACCTTTTCTTTACTAAAAATACAAAAATTACCGAGGCATGCTGGCATATGCCTGTGATCCCAGCTCCTCCAGAGGCTGAGGCAGGAGAATTGCTTGAACCTGGGAGGCGAAGGTTCCAGTGAACTGAAATAGCACCACTGCACTTCAGCCTGGGTGACAGAGTAAAACTCCATCTAAAAAAAAAAAAAAAAAACAATTACAGTGCATCCACATGATGGAAACTAGAGAAACGAGGTGGTTGATCAGAGCGGCGAACCCCACAATAGGGAGGGATGGGGACTGTGGTAGACCAGGAAACATGTTTTTCCTAAAGACATTGAAAGAAGGAAAGAATATGGAGGGATTGGAGGGCAGAATCAGCCAGCAGCACCGGTTGGGAGTCTCTGTAAATAGGTGAATATTTACTGACATGGAAAGATGTTTGGGCCAGATGCGGTGGCTCACACCTGTAATCCCAGCACTTTAGGAGGCTGAGACAGGCGGATCACTTGAGGTCAGGAGTTCAAGACCAGCCTGGCCAACATGGTAAAACCCTGTCTCTACTAAAAAAATACAAAAATTAGTATGTGGTGTGGTGGGGTGCACCTGTAATCCCAGCTACTCAGAAGGCTGAGGCAGAAGAATTGCTTGAACTCAGGAGGCGGAGATTGCAGTGAGCAGAGATCGTGCCGTAGCACTCCAGCCTAGGTGACAGAGCAAGACTGTCTCAAAAAAGAAAGACAGGAAGGGAGGGAGGGAGGGAGGGAAAGAGAGAGAGGGAAAGAGAGAAAGAGAGAAAGAAAAGGAAAGAGAGAAAAGAACATTTATAAAGCAATGAGTGAAAATGCAGGTTGAAAACATGCAGACCCAAACACATGTGCACACACGCACACACATGCACACACAAAACCACAAAGACCCGAAGGCCACCGACTAGGCTGCCAACAGCGATAATCCACGCTGATGAGAATATAGACGCTTTTACCATTTTTTCTTTCGGCCTCTCTGTTTCTTTCCCCTGTAACAATCACATCCTTTTTCACAGTAAATACACATTATTTTCCACTTAGAAAAATGACAAATAAGCCCCACCCTGGGGACTAAGGGAGCACTTTGTTTATTCCAGGCAACTCAACTGGATGCATAGGAAAGTGGGCTGGGGAGAAAAGAGGGCTTGGTGATGCTGGGCCGTTAAAGGCTCAAGCGGAACCGGGGGGAATACAAATTGGCCTGCTGCTGAAGTCTCACGCTCTTTCGCTCATTTGTTCAACAGATGTTTATTGAGTGTCTACTACGTACCCAGCAGGGAGCTGGATTTCAGGCTGAATGGAACAAGAAGATGTCCCTTCCCTTAGGCAGTAGAGTCCCTGGCAGCTATGGTATGTGAGGTGTTAGGGCCAGGAAGAGCACGGGTGGTAGGGAGCACAGCAGGGTGGCACTGGAATTAGGCGAGCCAGAGAGAACGCTTTCCCAGCAGCGGGGGGCTTTGTTGGTCTTTCGCCGCTGCTGATGAAGGAGGCTGCCTGTGTAGGGCCCATGGCCTGCAGCTGGGGAACAGAAGGAAATGGAGCCCAGTCCTGGAGCCCATCCCCTGCATGATGTGCAATGGCCAGCCTGTTCCTGGACCAGGAATAGCCCAGTGTTTATCAGAGATTCCTTCTGACAAAGCCCTGCTACCCCTGAAAAGCCACCACCGAGAGCCAGGCTCTGGCCGTGGTGCCTTTGCTTCACCACTGAGCTTGCTCCTTAGAATGTGCAAATGGGTTCAGAGCAATGGAGCCGCCTGCCCCAGGTTCCACAGTGCGGAGGTGCTGGCGCTCAGATTAGACCTAGGTATATCCGACAACAAAGCACATTACACTTCACCCGGAGGGGCGACCAGAAAGATGCCAGAGAGCATAAGCTCCTCCTCCTCCCAAGTCAGGCTGCAGCGCCTGCTCCCACCCGCTGGGCTCAGGGCGAGGGTGCTTACTTGCCTGTAGCTGGAAGAGCTGCAGCAGCCTTTGGCTTTGACGGTTGTCTCCAGCAGCTGAGCCCTTGCATTCATCACTCAACGGAGGATTACCGAGAGCCCACCCCATGCCAGGTGTGGCACGAGGCACCAGGGAAACCTGCAACCATCTTCCCTGATGCAAGGCGCTAAGATCTCCCTGGTGCCAGCCTGCTAGCATCTTCAAATGCACCACTGGAGTTGAATTCCTTTGGATTTAGGCACAGGATCACCAAGAACATCCACACACACACACACACCTTGAAATGTGAGGGGCTTGGGCAGTGTGGCCCACTGGATGTACAATTTGAGGACGCTGCTTTTGTAGGGTGAAGAGAGGCCAGCATGCTGGCAAGCTCTGAAGAAGGGAGGGAAAGGACCACGTCTAGGGGTACAGATGATTTTCTCTCCCCTCCGGTGCCTTCTCATGGGCAGAAGCAGACCCGAGTGCTGGGTTGCAAAGGAATCTGAGTTCATGCACCACGCAGGGAGGACTCACAGGGCCGCAGGTCTTGCCCTCATCGGTAACCCTTTCATGGGGGAGGGGGCTCCCCTGAATGATGGAAGATGCAAGAGCCCCACGGTCACCCCCAAACCCACCCAGGTCCCTCCATCTCTCACTTTAGACTCTTTACAAGCAGAATGGGGCCAAGAGTTTCTGAACACACTCGTCCCCAGCTCTGAAGACTGGCCCCAGGAGTCTGCGGGCAGAGGTGGGGGCACTGCCCGCCTTCTGGCCTACATCCGCCTCGAACCCACCCAGGACTGGCAGCTTTCTCAGGCAAGGCCCTTCTTCTTCCCTGGTCCCAGGGCAGAGGGTGGCTGGCATCCAGATGACTAGCTGAGGGGGATGGGTACAACCCAAAACACAGGGCTTGGGCATTCCGCCAAGTGTGGCTTCAGCCATGGCCAACAGCAACATTTGACCCAGTACAGGGCACCAAGAACTTGACTTCCCCATACCCGCCTGCCCGCCTGCTGTCTGCCTCTTCTCCTCCCCTAGACGCCTGCCTTCCTGCCTGCCGTCTCCTGCTCTGCTCTGTCTCATGTCAAGGAAAATTCCTACAGGAGCCAGGGAGATGGGCAGACACTGGGGCTGGGCCACAGCCATCCTGACGGCCGTCCTGGACAGGACGGGGGCCCGAGGAGGGGCCTGTAGTCTGTGCCAGCCCCATCTGAGGCTGGAAAAGGGGTTGGCTCCATGGGGCCTCAGAGGCAAGACAGGGGTGCCCAGTGTGCTGTGGGGGTCCCAGTGCCCCTGCCGGAAACCATCCCCCTTTGAACCACATTCAGATGCCAAGCCCAGCTCTGGAAATTGAGTATGGGCAAGAACCGGCAGCTGGAGGGGTCCTGATGTGCCATGAGCTGCTCATATCACCCCAGCACAAGTGTCACACAGCTTTGACCTTAACAAGGACCTAGAGATACAGATCCTTCCCGCATGGCTCCAAGGCCCGTTCCTGCTCACACTGCTTGCCTCTCCCGGAGAACTGGAGCAGTGGTGGCAGCAGGTGGAGAGTCTCACGGGGGAGCTCGGGAAGGAGGAAAGGGGTGAGCGTGCCCTGGGGCTGCACGTCCCTGCTTAAGCTCAGGACTGGCCCTTCCAGGCCAAGGACCCCAGCACAGACCCCAGGGCAGGGCCCCAAGGATCCCAAGCTCGTGAGAGCAGCTGGCTGGGATGCCCCAAGAGAGCCTGAAAGAAACTCGTTGTTGAGCTGGCATCGCTGTTTCTTCCAGACTGCTCTCTAAAGTGGGCAGGTGAGTTCTCACCCTGCATGCAGGCGTCAGGGAGATGCCAGGGTCCTTCCAGAGAGCTGCCGTGTGCCATTCGACACCAGCACAAGGCTGGTTTCAGCAGGTTAGCAGGGGAAATGGCAGCCCATGGCCCGAGAGGTAGTGTCCCCACCTGAACATCTCCGGAGGCTGCTATTGTCAGGCAGAGGCGGGACTGTCCGGGGGACGGTAACCTGCTCCTTCCTGCCCTTCCTGTCTGTCACCCCTACCCCTTCCCTGAGGCTCTGGAGCCTCAGCCACAGCCCCCAACCCCAGGAACAGGGACCCCTGAGGACAAGACACAAATGGGAAGCTCCAGCCCCTGTGCACACTGTATCTACGAAATTCTTTTCATCTTTGTTTTGATGAGCAAAGTTCAATGCCAGAATATTTGGTCTATGAGTCATGCTAATTACAGCTGGGGGGAGGCGCTAGGAAGAACAACAGAAAGAAGCATGTTCCGAAAAGCTCTGCAGTGCTGGCTGCCCTGGACAGGGGGTCACTTCCCAGGAACAAGGAGGGAGCCCATGCCCTTCCTGGGACAGCTTGGGCTTTCTCTGCTCCCACTTGGGAGGGCATCCCTTGCCAGCTGGCTGCACCTGCCTGGGAGGGGCTGTGGCATCCTGTGGCCACACAGCGCCCAGCCAAGGCTTCCTGCACCCTGCTTTCTGCCTCCCTGACAAGCTCACCAGGACACCTCCCTTGGCAACACAAGAGGAGGAGAAAGAGGCGGGAGATGTCGAGAGTCCCTGGGTACGGACCTGTGTCCTTCCTGCTCCTGGGCATTCTCTGTCGGCAGCTGGGAGAGAAGTTCCCAGCCTCAGCTTGGAGAGCTGAGTGCCAAATTCCCAACACCAGGTAGGAGTGTTAAAGGCATAGGCCCCGGAGGCTGGGCGCGATGGCTCACACCTGTCATCCCAGCACTTTGGGAGGTTGAAGCGAGTGGATCACTTGAGGTCAGGAGTTTGAGACCAGCCTGACCAACATGGTGAAACCCAGTTTCTACTAAAAATACAAAATTAGCCAGGCATGGGGCGCACGCCTGTAATCCCAGCTACTTGGGAGACTGAGGCAGGAGAATCACTTGAACCTGGAGGCAGAGGTTGCAATGAGCTGAGATCTTGCCATTGCACTCCAGCCTGGGAAACAAGAGTGAAACTCCATCTCAAAAAAAAAAAAAAAAAAAAAAGCATACACCCTTGGGCTAAAGACACAGATCAGGACCTTGAGTCCTCCATCCCTGTCTCTGGGACCTCAGGCAAGCCGTGAGCCTCTTGAGCTTCACAGCTCTGTTCTTTCCACAAGTGAGAGTTCCCTTGATAGAACTGTTGAGAATTAACAATTATAATAATTATTAATATAACGTTCAGCACCTGCCATGTGAGAAGCAGACACACGAATCTGTGGCTCACATGCCACTGTTGTTGGGCTGTCTCTAAGGGCCTCTCCAGCTCTACAGGTCTAAGAGGGAGGGTGGGGAAGCTTCCGCTTGTCCTCAGCCCTCGGCTCCCATCTCCCTTGTGTTGGTTCCCTCCTCCCTGGTTGGCGGGTACTGGACAGGTCTCCTGATGGCACACAACAGCCAGTGCCTCCATCTGTGGCTGCTCACGGCTCCACCGCCTGCCAGGGAGCGGTACTTTCTTGCACTATAAAAAGCAGAGGCTGGGCAGCCTGAGGACCTCACCCGCTCCCCTGGGGCCTGTGAAGTGGCCAGCAGCGGAGAGAACAGTTTCTCACGGCATTTCTCATGTTCAAAGCTCAGGATGAGAAAGCTCCCAGCATGTCGTGTTGCCTCCTTTCCTAGAAACTAGGTGGGGCCGCAGAGTCAGGAACACCTCACAGGGGGACGGCTTCCTCCCTCCCTCCCAAGCCGGGATGAGTCGGCCCAAAGGTAGATGGAGGGTCCACAGAAGAGAATCTGGCTTTCTGGGGCTGGAAGTGGGTGATCCGGGCTAACGGTGGGGACCACACCTGCGCCGGCGGAGAAGCCTGGAGGGCTGGGTGGTGGGCGGTGGGTCAACAGGTGCCGTCCAGAAGCACCCAGGCGGCTCAGAGGCTCCAGCCCCAGGCCAGGGACCACTCCCAGCGGCACGGGCACAGGGAGCTTCGCTTCCCAGGAGGGCCCCGGGGAAGCAACATTGTTTTATCCTGCCCAAGCTGGGCCCCTCCAGGACACCAAGGCTGTCAGGTGCGGGGACCAAAGTCAGCCTTCCTATTCCATGAAGGATCCTGGTTGGCCCCAGACGGGCCTGGCAGACCCGGCGGTCAGGTGGTCCCGGTGAGACTGGGGAGGGGTGAGGGCATCCCCGCCAGGTGCGGCCACCGGCATTAGTACCACTCCTCCTCCTTCCACACCCTCAAAACGCACCAGAGAAGAGTGAAGCAAGAAAAACCCCCCACAAAAAGCTGGGGGGAAGGTGCGATGGCTCCCGACCGTATCCACGTGCAGAAGAGTCCGGCTCGTCAGCAGGCAGGGAGCCCCGGGACCGCGACCCCGCGCAGAGGCGCCTATGCGGGGGTCTGCGCCAGGGCGGGCGCCAGGGCTTCCCCCAAACCTGGGCTCCCTCTGCCCCTGCGCCTCCACCGCGCTCCCCGGCCCTCCCGGCCCAGGTGTCTGCCCGCCCCGCCCTGGCCACCGGGCTGAAGCCACTAGGACAGGGGCGGGGCGGCGCCGGGTCCCTGCGGCTGGGGCACCTACCTCCGTCCCGCCGGCCGTTCCTCCCCCGCCGCCCTTAGAGCATCTCCCCGCGGCCGAGCCTCCTCCCCGCCAGGTCCAGGGAGACGCGCAGACCCGCCGGAGGAGACAGAGCGGGGAGACGAGTCCTCGGGGCCGACGGTGCAGAGCAGGAGGGTGGGGGCGGTGCGAGCAGCCGCGGGTGCCCCCAGCACCTCTGGTCCGCCACCCAGGCTCCGAGGTCCCTGTGACCAGAAGCGGAAGCGCGGTTTCTCGAAAGTAAAGGAAGAGACGCAGAAAGTGGGACAGACGCGCACGGAGCGAAGCCCAGCCAGATGTGAGCCGCGAGGAGCCGCCAGCACTCCCAGCGCTTTCGTCCAAACAGCAGCCGCGGAGGATTAACTGTGTGTGCCCCGCCGCCCCGCGGAACTCCGGCCGCCGCCTCCCGCCCCTGGGGAGCGCGCCAGGCTGGCAGTGGGGAGGGCCGCTTCCGTGCGTCCGGAGGGCCGTCCAGAGGTGGAGGGGCTGCGATCCCGGGGTGAGGATGCCCCGCGCAGGACGGGGGTGCCCAGCAGGCCCGAACACTCCCAGTCACTTGGTAGCGGGGGGTGGACTCCAAGGCCTGGGGATCCCCTGCAGCCAACCCCGAGGGGTCAGGTCTCCAAACAGTGTCATACCTGAGACACCCCGCACGTCATCGGGGACTCAGAGATGTGGGGGAATCTGTGAGCACCCTACAAAAAATGCCAAAGTGTATGTGTGTGCGTGTGTGTGCGCGCACGTGTGTGTGTATGTGTGTGCGTGTGTGTGCGCACGCACGTGTGTGTACACGCACACACATCTTTGGAAGACGATGGTCCACTGTGTTGTTTTGTTCAGGGTCTTGAAAGCTCTGTGATCTAATGGTTAGGAGGGCACCCCTTCTCTGGAAGGTTTACATTTCCAGAGGAAAGCATGTGAAGAGTGGTGGACCCACGGTGGCTGGAAGCATTCCTCCATCTCTATCAGGCCTCTCATTCCTTGATGTGAAAACCTGACATTTTCTCAATCATACACAAACATTTCTTCTGAACCAGCCCTGTAGGCTGCCCTCCAGTCCGGATCCCTAATCCGGGCTTCTCCAGAGCCGGCCCTGGTTGGGGCCCAGTCTCCCTCCCTGGACTCTCTGTCAGCCCAGCTCTCTCTGGAAAATTACCATATCACTAGCAGGGGAGGATTTGGCCAGAGAAGCCAAGTCTGCTCTGATGGTAACAGCGTTCCCCACTTTCTTGTTGCTTCTTTTCAGCCTTGCTGCCCGGTTCTCTCTGATCTGCCCCTCCCTCACCTCCATGCTGTACCTGGGTGTTTTGGTTTTGTCATCACTCCTGTGAGGGCCTGTCTCTGGCTACATCTAAACAGGAAATGTGAAAACAGGGATGCTGGTTGGGACGTTCAGAGCACTATAGGCTTTACCTTTCCCTGCCTGGAATGTCCTCCCATCCACCGCACCAACAACTGGACAGGTGAAAAGAATCAAAGAGGAAAGGAAGAAGAGGGTGCAAGCTTGATGCCGGCCGCCTTGCCCAAGGCGGGGTGAGGCCAGCACTCGGGTCGACGTGAGGGTGAATGGAGATGAGAACAGAAGGGGAGGCCTGGGGCAGGCGAGCCGCCCAACAGCCACTCCACAGAGGCCCTGGCTGCGTGTGCCAGCCCTTCCTGTGAGTATAGGGAGAAGGGCTGCCAGGCCTCCAGCACCCAGGGGGAACTCAGAGGACACGACGGCGACATGAAGTCAACACTACTTCACCAACTAGAGATGCGGCCACCGCTAGGCTTAGGAGATCAGGGCCTGCCTGTGTTCTTGGCATACATGTCTGAGGCTTGGCAAAACCTACATCCCTGGTTGCTTATTGATACAGGAAAAGCCACAGATAAGCTTGTCTCCATTCCCGTAAGTGACGTGAGGACGTTTCCCAGTCACCCGGAGCAAGGCCTAGCACACAGATTGACCTTTCCTTCGTTACTCTGTCCTCAAGTAGCCCTTGCCGCAGGGATACCAGAGAAAGCAACAGCATTTTTCGCAGCCCTTATGAGACCTTCGTCCATACTTCAGGGAATCTGGGCCTTTCTAGAACTCTTATGGGCTGGGAAACTCCCTCAATGCAATGGGAAGGCTCCTCGTTGTGCTGCCCGGGAGCTTCGGACTCAGAGAAGTCCTGGGCAGATATCAGAATTCACAGAGCTGGACACACGACTCGAGAGAGAAAGGGATGAGGATGATGTGGTGGCCACACCTGTCATCCCAGCACTCGGGGAGGCTGAGGCAGGAGGACTATTTCAGCCCAGGAGTTTGAAACCCACCTGGGCAACATAGTGAGACCCTGTCTCTACAAAATATAAAACAGTTAGCTGGGCTTGGTGGCACACACCTGTAGTCCCAGCTACTCGGGAGGCTGAGGTGAGAGGATCCCTTGAGCCCAGGAGGTCAAGGCTGCAGTGAGCCCTGATCGTGGCATTGCAGCCTGGGCAACAGAACGAGACTCCATCTCAAAAAAAAAAAATTGCGGATAATGGAAGAGTTATTCTTTCTCTTTACCCCATCCAAGATGGCTTTGGTGTTGACGAACTGAGAAACAGTTATCTTTAACATAATTCCGAGACAGAAACTCAGAGGCCCAAGGTAGTACGAAATTCTAGAAAGACAGCTGAAGGCTGGCCATCTCTTCCAGCTGCACCTGGCTCATCCTACTGGGAGCCTTTGTCCTGGCTCTGTCCTACCTTGAGGCAGCCTGGGGATGCTACTGAACTTCAGTGGGCCTTAGCTTCCTTATCAATAAGGCAGGGATAGGTCCAGGGTCTCTTATCCAGAACAAAGGAGGCCAGCTGTGTCCAGAGTCAGAGGCAAATATCCCACAGAGCATCTGACCCTGGGCTGTGGGTGGCGCCCCTTCATCAAACACTTGAATGTGCTACAGTGGGACAAAGGCAAGCCATCCCTAGTCTCAGGACAGTTCAGGCCACATTGTTCTGCCAAATTTAGAGGAAAACTAAGTTTTCAAAGTTTTTGCATTTCCAGGATTTGGGAGAAGGGATTGTGAACCTGTAGTTTCACACACGATTAATAAAAAGGTTGATGGAGCATAGTGTTCACTGCAACTGTCATCATGACAGGTATCATCTTCCTTCCCTCCTCTTTGACTTCGCCACCTGTCCCAATCTGCCCAGAACACGGGCAGCGCCATCCAGGAGCCACGAGCCTGGGCCAGCGGCCCGGGACGCTGGATCTGCCTGCTCTTGGGAAGAGGAGGGAGGGAAGAGATCAGAAAAGAGACTACTCATTTTCCTTGAGGCAGAAACTGGGGATGGGGAGGAGTGGTATCAAACGTAACACAGAGAGCCTCCCGAGATCTTGTGTAAGACCCACAGCTCAGGGGTGTGGGAAGTTCCGAAGAAGAGGAGTTGAGGTCTGGGCACATCTTAGGTGCTGCCATCTTGGCTCACAACTCAAGGCAGCAGGCGTCGGGCAAAGACTCACAAGGCCAGCCTCCCAGAGAACACAAGCCAGTCCTCAATAAAAAGTCCAAAATGGAGAGCAGGCCGGGCTCCTAATGCTCTGTCATCAACTTCACCCCTGCTTTATCCTTGTAAGTAGGAAGATGGAAACTTTGGCAAGCAAGGGCTGTCCTTGCAGAGCGGCTGATCTTCCATCCCTGCCTTACGCCCCCCAAGCAACAAGATGCAGGGGGTCTTCCCTTTGGCAAAATCCTTTCCTGTTGGGCAGAGATCCTGAGAGTGCTAGGACCAGAGTCAGGACAAAAAACAACAGCAGAAATCAAAAACCAAACCAGCCCCAGTGCCTGGGGGATCTCAGCAGCCCTGGAATTATGGGTCAGAAGTCGAAGCCGACTTCCAGAAAGACCGAGTCCCCTCGCCAGGGTCTCTCTCTTAGCCCCCAGACACATCCTAAAGCTCCCTAGGAGCTCACATCTGCACAAGGGTGTCTGGGTGAAAACCCCTAACGGTTTCCTGAATATTCCCAAATCATCCCATAGTCTCAGCCAAGGGTAGGTCATAAAATGTGAAGCCCCAAGACTCACGGGGAAGAAATACTTCCTGGAACCCCCGGCAGGGGAGGCAGCACGTTCCGCGTCCTCCCCGATTTGGCAATTCTTTCTCTCTTCCTGGGCCTGTCACCACCGCTCGCTGGGTCTGTTTGCTTATTGTAGGAGAAAGACTTGACCTGGGTTCACGTCTGCAAGGCGCTCGGTTCCAGATCAGCCTGTCGTTAACAGCACTGTGATTTTTCCCACCGCAGCCCTCACATTCCGCCTTGCCCAACTATTTTGGGTTGGGCTGCCCAGTCATCCCACAAGGGCAGAGGCTGGTATTGCAAACTTTGATTTCTGTTCCCAAGGGTAGCGACCAGCCGGCTCCGATGGTGACGTCCCACGGCCAAGGGGTGGGGGTGGGGAGAGTCTCCACAGAGCTTGGAAGAAGCTGCTGAGATGGAAACGTGGAAACTTGGCGGGCAGACCCAGCCTCCCTGGCCGCTGGCCCATGCTCGTGGCTCCCGGATGGCGCTGCCCGTGTTCTGGGCAGCTCGGGACAGGTGGAGATCAGGACTGGCAGCTGCCAGGCAGATCAGGTGAATAGGCTTCTTTATGGTCCTCACACCTGCAGAAAACCAGGAGGGCAAGAACGTTCCCTCTCCGAGGAACCCGCCTTTCCGCAGAAGTTCTCCCCTGAGGCCATGTACACGCCTCGCAGCTCTATCAAGCCATTTAATTTCCCTACGCCTCAGTTTCCCCATCTCTAAACATTTACTCTCCTGTTTTGGCAACGAATGCTTTCAGTTATATGGAGATGGGCGTAACGGACTATTAGGCAACATTTTACCCAATAAATAAGATGGGAGGGCCCCCTGGTGGACTCCCCAGTTCCAAGCACTTAACTGTGAAACGAGCAAGTGAATGCGTAAGCGAACACATGAATGAATGATTCAGTGAAGAATGTCTTGCCTTTTCCGCAGAGCCACAGAAACTAAAGGGAATTTCCAGCAGGAGGCTATGGTGAAGTCTCTGATGATGCAAAGAAGACAAGGAGAATGAAAATCCAATGAAAGCCCGATTGTATTGGTTAACCTTAAGGAGAGTGACTCTATGGCACAGCCTCTCTGGAAGGTATGGTATGTTTGCTCACAGTATGTCAATATCCTTTGACCCAGTGGCCTTTCTGCGAGGAGTTTATCCTACAGATAAACTTAGAGTCGTGCTCAAATAGGTAAGTTCAAGGATATCCTCTGAAGCATTGCTGTAGTAAAAAAAAGATCATAGATATCCTCCAAGGGCATCATTAGGGGCCTAGTAAAATAAATTCCGCACAGTGGAATACCGTGTAGCTCTTCAGAGAATAAGCAGCTCTCTATATGTGATATGGAACAATCTCCAAGCTAAATCGTTTTGTTTTGTTTTGAGAGTTTCGCTCTTGTCACCCAGGCTGGAGTGCGGTGGCACGATCTCGGCTCACCACAACCTCCGCCTCCTGGGTTCAAGCAATTCCCCTGCCTCAGCCTCCCGAGTAGCTGGGACTACGGGCATGTGTCACCATGCCCAGCTAATTATTTTTGTATTTTTACCAGAGACGGGGTTTCACCATGTTGACCAGGATGGTCTCAATCTCCTGACCTCGTGACCCACTCGCCTCGGCCTCCCAAAGTGCTGGGATTATAGGCGTGAGCCACCGCGTCCGGCCTATATTGTTAAGTAAAAAACTACAAGCCCTTACTGAAAAGCGTGAAAGAAAATCCAAATAAATGGAAAAGCAAAACATGGTCTTAGATAGAAGACCCAATATTATTACAAAATCTCAGTTCTCGCCCAATGAAGCTATAGATTCAAAGCAATTCCACTCAAAATCAGACAAGGCTGAAGGTGGGTAGGGTAGGAGGGGACTTGTCCTACTCCCTAGGAAGGCGTATTATGAAGACATAAAAATGAAGATACTGGTATTGAACAGATGTGATCAAGTATCTTAGTACGATGTAATAGAAAGCCCCTCCCAACAAATGACCCACGTGTGTATGAAAAGATCTATGACGAAACTGGCATTGGACACATATCCATGGGGAAGGGATGGATCAATTCCTAAAAACACACGGAGATGTTGGGGCATCCACAGAAGAAGAAATGTAAATGGCCAAAACGTATAAGAAAAGATGTACAAGCTCGCTGTAATCAGGCAATGAGCACACACTTATTACCATCAGACTGGCAAAATTAAAACATCTCATGATGTCTATGGAGCTGTTACTAGAAAGGGTCCCGAACCAGACCCCAAGAGAGGGTTCTTGGATCTTGGGCAAGAAAGAATTTCGGATGAGTCCACAGAGTAAAGTGAAAGCAAGTTTATCAAGACAGTAAAGGAGGCCAGATGCAATGGCTCACGCCTGTAATCCCAACACTTTGAGAGGCCAAGGCAGGTGGATCACAAGGTCAGGAGTTCAAGACCAGCCTGGCCAACGTGGCAAACCCTGTCTCTACTAAAAATACAAAAATTAGCCAGTCACTGTGGTACACACCTATACTCCCAGCTACTCAGAAGGCTGTGGCATGAGAATCACTTGAACCTAGGAGGTGGAGGTAACAGTGAGCCAAGACTGTGTCACTGCACTCCAGCCTGGGCGACAGAGTGAGACTCTGTCAAAGAAAAAGGAGGGAAGGAAGGAAGGAGGGAGAGAGGGAGGGAGGGAAGGAAGGAGGGAGGGAGGG